GAGGTCACTGCCCTGCCCCACTGCCCTGCCCTGGCTGGGATGCTGACAGAAGACAGTCCCACTTCTCTTCGGGTTCTGCTGCCTCTCTGCCCGCCCATCCCGGTGAGGGGCGAGGACGCTGCGGGGTGCTCCCATACCAGCCTCCTTTCACAATTCAGCTTTGCGGTGTTGTAGGGTGTGCTTTCAAACTCTGACTCTTGCAGGTCACTGCCCTGCCCCACTGCCCTGCCCTGGCTGGGATGCTGACAGAAGACAGTCCCACTTCTCTTCGGGTTCTGCTGCCTCTCTGCCCGCCCATCCCGGTGAGGGGCGAGGACGCTGCGGGGTGCTCCCATACCAGCCTCCTTTCACAATTCAGCTTTGCGGTGTTGTAGGGTGTGCTTTCAAACTCTGACTCTTGCCTTGATGTGTCATGTTAGGGCTGCTCAGGAGCCTGCTCTGGCCGCACTGATTTCCTAGGAGCAGGTTGCTCATAGGGTCTGCATTGTAGCCACAAGTTTATTACTGAATTGCCCCAGGATGATGTTAAATAGTCTGAGAGTCTCAGCTGGAAAAAGGCAGAGGGAACTTCAGGACTGGCAGCCTATGTCTATACAGCAAACCTGTTAAGAAATAAATTTGAAATAATGGGCTTCTTACTCCAACTCCTGTACCCCTCATTGTATGAGGAGTAAGGGAAGTTGGGGGAAGAATGCTGTATTTCAAATAACTGCTGTGTAGATGAAATAAGCTAAAGTCAAAATAAGGTATTTTGACTTAAACTACACAATTAGCATAGCTCAAGTTGTGTAGCTTATTTCAAGTTTAGCCCTACTGTGTAGACATGCTCTCAGTGAGGATACGTCTACATAGAAGGGCTGTGTCTACACTGCACCCCTTTTCCGGAAAAGGGAAACAGATGAGACAAGTCGGAAATGAGGGGGGGGATTTAAATATCCCCGCTTCATTTGTATAAACATGGCTGCCGCTTTTTTCCAGCTCGGGGCTTTGCCGGAGAAAAGCGCCGGTCAAGATGGAATCTTTCGGAAAATAAAGCCTTTCCTGATTTTCCGGAAAAGGGGTGCAGTGTAGACAGCCCAAGGCTAAAGCTGAAATAAGCTATGCAACTTCATCTATGTCAATTGCATATCTTAAGTTGAAATAGCTTATTTCGGGTTTTGGCACCATCTACACAGCAGGAAGTCCAAGGAAGGGCACTCTTCTTCCAACTTCCCTCACGCCTCGTAAAATGAGGGTTATAGGAATCGGAGTAAGACATCCTCCAGCTTGACATTATTTTGATATTTTGATATTATGTCAAAATAACTGCTTGTTATTTTGGGATTAATGTCAGTTATTCCAAAATAACATTGCTGGGTAGACATACCCTGACTGGGTGGCAACTCTTCCCAGCAAAATATTTACATGGGACCCAATTTCAGTATAACATAATTGAAACTGCGGGGATATCACATGCCATGTGTTATGCTACTACTTCAGGGATACTCAGGGTTGTGGGACATATGACCACCTGTTCTTAGTGGGGAGTGTTGCCCAATGCCTGCTGTAGTTCATGTCTGTGAAACCAACAGCCTCTGGTCACAGCCATGCACCAGGTCTCTGCAGATCTCACCAGGGTGGAGCGAGACATGTATTATATCATATAAAATAAGAAAATGACAGTGGCAACTGGCAACTCTAAATTTCTTTTATTGCGGCTTTCTGTACTGTATACTTGGGTGATAAGATTCTAAACCTTGTTAACTAGTTACGCAAGACATATGGATTAGCTAAGCTAATTTTTTTTCCTAGCAACAGCCAACATTTTGAGAATTTACTTGTTAAAACACACTCATACTAAAAGGCATAGAGAGAGTCTTGAATAATGATGCTTTGGAAAGTTGATGTACATTGTCCTTCAGGCATATCTATATCTTCATCCACATCATTTTCTCCCAATAAACGGTTTTACTCATGTTTCATTTTTTGCAGCTAGGCCCTCCATCTTCTTGCACTGCACACCCTTGACATATTTTTTCCCTAGGAAACAAATTTCTTCAAAATATTTCCAGATACAGTCTCTTTTACACACAGAAGCCATGAAAGTTTTTCTATGGCAAAAGTGCAGGGAATATAGGAAGCTATGTGTGTGCTAAATAATGTCTTCCCTTTTTTCCTTTCCAGTTCACTCCCATATTCCTTTCTATGCTGCCTCTGTCCTTTCCTATATATTGTGTCTCTTTCTTTAGGCAATGTCTTAACTAACTCTGCCATGCTTGGCCCTGGTTCACCTCCACATAAGCACAGACAAAGACAATTCTATACAGCCTGTGTCTGTCTTTGCACAAGTTTCTCAGCAGATCAACAGAAATTGAAAGCCCAGAACTTTCAAGAAGCAAGAGCTGGTTGTTAGGCTAGACAGGCTAGAGCCATTAATTCCCTTTTATGAGACAATAAGTGTATGTGTAGCAAGTTTGTGATAAAAATTAAGTTTAACTCTTATTTTTAAATGAGAAATGTAGTATTTTATTGATGATTGTGATGGGGTGTCTGCCACACTGGCCATTTAAAGATAAAAGCCAGCCCTGGGAGAGGGCTGAGAGAGAGCAAAGCCCCAGGGTTGAGGCAGGTACTTGCTAATTGGGGCCCATTTGGGGGAATATAAATAAAGGCTCCTGGAGGGGAGAAGATGGAGACTTGCTCTTACTCTAGTTGGGGAGCAGAAGGGACCTAACTGCCAGGGAAGCCAGAGGCTTCCTAACTTAGAGCAGGGCTAGGGAAAGCTCTGGCCAGGCAAGCTTCCAGGCTGCAGGGCCTGAAACAAGGCCTGAGGTTATTATGGCTGCAGAGAGGCAGCCAGGGTAGGCAAAGGCAGTAGGTCCACACACCCCCTTGCCAATGATGAGTGGCCATTTCAGACTGCAGTTTGTGCCTGTGGTTGGGGCTAGATGAAGACTGGCAGTAAGGTCACTGAGGCAAGGTGGGCATGGAGGTCTGGGGGTTTGCAGAGGTGGAAGATCCCAGAGGTGGAGAAAAAAAATAGGTGACTGTGGGTAAGACACTGGCCAAAAGAGGGCACTCCAGGGCTGAATGAGCTAATTCCTGAGTGACCAGCAGGAAGTGCCTGTGGTGGTAAGGCATGCCTGGTTACAATGATTTTTTTAAAATTTTATTTTTTTAAAAGAATAATTGATTTTTATTCATCCTGGACCTCACCCACTTGCAGGCTAGCTAGCGACATACCACATCCTGTGGCATCTGCAGTATCCAGCATGTGTCACTAGACTGGAATAAGGAATCTTTCGGAAAAGGCTTTATTTTCCGACAGATCCCCGTCTAGACTGGTGCTTTTTTCCGGCAAAGCTCCGAGCCGGAAAAAAGTGGCAGCCATGTTTATGCAAATGAAGCGGAGGGGATTTAAATCCCCGCTTCATTTGCAATTGCGATGTGTCTAATTTGCATCCCTTTTGCGGAAAAGGGATGCAGTCTAGACACAGCTAAGCTGTGTTAAGTTAATATAATAATATGAGTCTACGCTACTGAGTGAAGGATATGAAAAGCCCAGAGTCCTTTTTTTCCCTTCTTAATGCTTCTTGAAGTGCACCCCCAGTTTAGACTTTTTTCTCCTGTTGCTTGTTCTCTTTTGTGCTTCCCTGGTTGGTTTCATAGCCCCCCCCTCCCCCACCATTTTTCTGTTGACTTCACATGCAGTCAGGACTTCCATAATGTTAGCTATACAGTGCTTTATTTATACTGGCAACAGGGATAAGTAAATAGACATATTTTGAGAAGATTTGTTTATCTTCTCTGCCTTGCTGAAGACTTTAAAGCATGATTTCAGTGAAATATATCAGTAAATTCCATGTAATATAGTACAAATATTCCATAATTACATGCATGACCTGCGTGACGTTAGTTTTCATTTGATGCTTTGCAAAATACTTTTGGATAAATTTTATGAAAGCAATGTGTTCAGTGTAGTGAGTTTGTCAGGCCTGATGGGAGTTGCTGACAGACTAGAAAATTCTCTCTAGCTGAGAACCAATGGGCTTTTGTATTACATTATGAAACAAAAGTTTGTAATGAAAAATCTGACATAACACTTAGCAGTGTTACTGATCACTTCTGTAATGGGATAGTGACATACTTCGGGTGTATCTCCAGAAAATTGGATCATCAATCAAGTTCATGAAAACTTCAAAGGCAAAAACTTGGTGCTTCAAAGACCAATCCTGAAAATAAAGATGGGACTTTTTAATTTTCTCTTTCACTTCTGCTTTTATAAATATTGCAGAAAAAAGTAGCAACAGGGAAACGCTCACAGGAAAGCACAAGAAAAGAATCCTTGGTAGGAAACAAATTTATCTTGTTCTAAAAGTTAATTGAAAACAACTCAAAATCACTGGAGATATCTTTTCACAGTGTCTTCTTCTAAAAACAAAAATGCTAATGTTTGACATGGTCATGCAAATTACTTTGCTCTTTGATTTCAAACATTTTCTTGATCTTTAGTAATTATTATGCTTTATATTTGACCTATAGTATATCATAG